AATGCACCTATTCCAGTAGAGTATTATTTGCAAAGTTGATTTAATAACTCCTAGTATAGTATTAAATTATATATATTTACAGTTGTAAATATATATAACTTAATAGCGAAGCCGCGGGTAAAAAGCTAGTTAGCTTTTTACCCGCGGCTTCGCTCGCGTGAGGTTGAATTTAGGAACATCACTAGCTAGAATATCATTAATTGTTGTTTCGTGCCAAATTTAGCAAAATTCGGTCACTGTTAGAGTCACCTCGGTGTCTGTGTCTCTATATCTGTCAATGTTTTTTTTTGCCTTCTAAAAGACTATTAGACGTAGATTAGGTATTTGGCATAAATATAATATGCTATATATGTTTGGAAACACCTACAATTTTTTATATCGAGAGTGTCTTCCGAAAAGAAAGATAAATTAAATTGTTTTGGTATTAATTTATATGACCCTATAATTAATATAATTAAATTCAAACCCAAGCATACTACTTCATTTATTCTATTCTATTCTTATTCTATTCTAACTATAACATCAGGCCATCAAACACCTCAGTCCACCCGTGGCTATGGGTGTTGTAAAGTGTCCAAAACATCAGGAATTAAAAAAGTTAAAATTAACGCGATAAAATCCTTAAACTTAGCTTTATGCCTTATAAATTTTATTCACAGTGAACGTGGGAAGCACTATACTCATAAACGGGAGTAGAAAAATGTTCGCCTTGTTGTGATGTGTGTTAAAGTTTTTTACGAATTGCCAACGTAACCTAAAAAAATTGTGCGCTACTCTATATCTTCGCGCATGCGCGGGAGAACTAATCTTTATATATAAAAAGTGCGTGTCACAGTGTTTGTCCGCGATGAACTCCCAAACTTATGAATTGATTTCAATGAAATGTTTCACAATGTGTGCAGTTTGGTCCAACTTGAGAGATAGGATAGTTTTTATCCCGATAAGTGACCCTCAATTTTTTTTGTGAATTTAATTATTTTTTTTAGTACACATGGTCGTCGGAAAGGACAGAACAACGTCTGCCTGGTCAGCTAGTATGTATGTAAATATCAATAAGTGATGTCACAGTATTTTTATGTAGTCATATAAAAGTTTTGAGGCACTATTAAAAGTAAAAAATTGGGAAAACCCAAAAGTGCACGCTAATGAGGGGTTCATTTAATTTTGATGTAAAACATAAAAATAATGACGATAATTATAAAAAACAGAGAATCTGATCGACTTTCATTAATAACTTTTAACGGTGTTGAGTTCAATAACAAAAATCAATAGGGATCCTCCTGAGAATATGGAATCTGTTCGCGCCAAACGATAATTTCAGGAACTAACGCGAGAGGGCGCGCGGTTCGGTGTCATACCGGTTTTAACGTCGGTCGAGCGGTGGGTGTTGAGAACGCGTAAAGGCGAAAGAGTGAAGTGAAAAAGAGTGAGAAAAATGACAGTGTGCTAACGATAGCGCACTGTCATTTTTGTTCGGGAACCGTGGAATAGTTTAGGCGTCTAGTAAACATCCTGTCTAGGATTTATAACGCGCATTCCTTGTTGGATAGCCTTTCCCGGGACTTATTGGATCCGACTCAGAATCTGTATAAGTGCATTCGACAATATTAGCTAGTGCGTCCTTTGGTATTCTAGAAATAACTGTTGCTACGCGAAACGGTAGTGACCTTTGATCCGGACACTCCGTGTTCGTTTTGTGCTTTAACCTTATAACAAACGAGAGTTAGTGGCTTCTGTAAGTTAGTTAATCGTACGATAGAGTTAATGGACTGTCATCGTGACGAACGAGGAAAGTGACTGTGGACAACGCCGCGGAAGATTACCTCATTTTGGAGCAGCCTGGAACTCGGCCGCTGCTGGTCGCCTATGCTTGCCAAGGCCCCACACATTCACACCTCACTGTACATTACTCGCCATCCACTATAACACACACTCACGGCCAACCCAAGCCTTGGTGCGAAGTTAGCTCCGGATAATGGTAAGTACTATGTGTTTCTAGCTTTCTCCCATATTGTTTATTGTAATTAGGAAATTCCACGTGGCCATATTCTGGCCCCGTCGATGGGATTACTCAGGGGCCCTATTCCCGTCATCCTTGGTTGGGGCAGCTAGGGGCGTGTACAGAATCTTATTTAATACTATTTTAGTCTATTGCTTACATTTCTATTAAGTGAGAAGTGACTCATCGACTCGCAAATCAACGGACGGCAGTCCATATATTTTTTATTATGTAATCGATAGTGAATCAATTAGAAAATAAACTAATCTTATAATTCAATATTTGTAGTTATTGTAACATTAATAATAATATGGATTTGATGTTTAGCTAAAAGTATAAGAACAATTTAATGTAGCGAAATTGAGCTATGGCTACATATCGAGTGTAGAGCATTCACGTTGTGAGGCGTGCAAAATTAAAATTATTAAGTGTGGTATCTTTTAGGATTTATTGACGATGGTTTTAACTGGCAAATCAATATAAAATGCTTGTTAGTTTAAAGCTCTATAATATTGAACAATATTAATATCCCCTTTGGCCAAAGGCCATGTAGCCAATGCGGCATTGAAAAAAGAAATATCCTCTTTCTATCAATTATAACAAGTGTCAAAAAATCGACGCAAAAACATATAAGTAGATGCAATTCGTTATACTCTTTCGGGATGTCGTTTTGCAATATGGTATTTCAAGCTCGATTGCTGTACAAATGCCTCTTGACACACTTCGCATACATGTCGTTTGTCCTTGAGATGCATTCTTATATGAACTGTAAGGTTGTGTTTCCATTTAAACGATTTACTGCAAAATTCGCATTTGAAAGTTCTGACACCTAAATGTTTGATTGCATGCTTCGCAAGGTCACTGCGCGTTTGGAACGCCATATCACAACTGTTACAGTTGTATTTCTTCTCGCCCATGTGGTAGAACTTTTGGTGCCGCAACATTAGGTTGGGATAGGCGAATTTTTTCCCGCAAGCACCGCAAGACGGAGCCGGAACGCCGTGCACTTTCTCGAAATGTTCGGCGCGCAAATGTGGCGAAAACTTTACACCGCAAACGTGACAAGTCCGCAGTTTCGGTCGCAACTTAAGATGAACGTGCAAATAATGTTGCATGAACAATTCGCGCCTTTTGAATTTACGTGTGCAAGTGAGACAGTTGAAGTATTTGTTGTCATCTTCTTCGATCGTAATCATTAAGTTCCGAGCCGCCTCTATAGTCGCTTGTCCTAGAAAAGAAAAGGGACAGTCAGAGTGGCGACTTTAAGACAGTGATATTTATATATAAAAAAAGTAGATACGTTATTAGCCTAAAACTGAAACGTTGGAGTGTTCAATTAACCACTCCGGCCCATGGCTAACAAATCAGTGCGTTATGCCAGAGTGACCGAGCAAGACACCTGACAACTAGAGCGCGGACTTGTTATACCAATGCAAAATTGACACCTACTTTAATGTTCATAATGAACTCCAAGGCCAAGCATACTAATGTAAGCATTTAAGATTTTTTTTTATAGAATAAGGGTAACAAACGAGCACACAGTCCACCTGATGGTAAGTGGTTGCTGTGACCCATAGACATCTACATCTATTCTCGATCAAGAATCAAAATGCAGATGTTTTATCACCCCTGAGGACCAAGATGGAATGCCTCATTTCCAGTAAAAAGGTGTCAGTATATTCACATCAAGGTGATTTCTCAATGCTTTAACGTTGAACGTAAACCATCCCTCAAATCGTATAGGATATCGCCTATCGCCATAATGAATCAGTTTATAATCCATCAAGTTGTTCTTTAAACGGTCAGAAAGTCAGCCACGGCGATATTCCCGACACTTGAGGGTACGTCGAATGGGAAATGTAACTAACTAGTGACGTGCCGCAAGCATCGTAAAATCATCGATTTTTTTTAAATTCCATCATCCATCCGTCCATCACAGCCTATGAAAAAAGTCCACTGCTGAACACAGGCCTTCCTCACTCCCTCATAGATTACTAGAGTAGTTTTTTTTATTGTTTGAGTTGTCATCAGGAAGGGACTGCTGCCCTGCTGTAGTGGATATTCTTTCACCGCCTCTACATTATACTATCTTTAATATATTATAATCTTTATTTATATATTAACAAATGCTTCCGTTAATGATCGTGTATGTCTTAACTTCTGAATGACTTGAACGTTTAAGGCCATATTCCCGGAATATATTTATTTTGTCACGTCGATGGTTTCTAGCTATGATAAGATCCAATAAATTGAATTGTGCTCCAGATCGAATTTCGGTCACGGCAGTCAGTCCTGTTAGAGACTAGACATATATGCAGGAAATGAATTTGAATACCAGCGTAAAATAGCAGCTTAACACTGCTGTATTTCGTATGGTGAGTGTAGAGAACCGGAGACCCTTTTTACTGGAAATGAGGCATTCCATCTTATTCCTCACGGCTGACAACGCATCTGCATTTTGATTCGTAATTGAAGAGAAATGTATATGTCTATGGGACACAGCAACCACTTACCATCAGGTGGACTGTGTGCTCGTTTATCATCCTATCCTATAAAAAATGATTACAGTGCCCGAGTGCATGCGCAAGCACGGGTGCATTCACTATTTCCTCACTCTCATAGCCCGATGGGATGACAAACCGACACGGGAGTGAAACACCGCCAACGGTTTTCTGCCTACGGACAGCTACTGAGAATTTTGCAGAAAACTCATTAATCGTTTTTTGATCAACCCGGAATTTGAACCCGGGACCTACTACGCTGTCTTTCTGTCAATTCTTTATTTACGGACTAAATGACTTATATTCACAATATATAATGATTTAGTGCCAAAAAAGAAACACAAAATCGAGACCCCACCGGTGGCGCTGATATCGAAATTTTAATAAAAATACACTGTAAGAAGTCCGGACTAAATTCGGAGGGAAAGTCACTGGATCGCACGGGAAAAGGCAGAACAACGTATGCTGACCCAGCTGGTAAGAATATTAAACTCATCTCTCACAGTTAATAGAATTTTATTTCTTTAATAGTATTAACAATATAAGGGACGTACGTGTGTGTAATTCTATGTACGTAAATATTATCTGATATCAATATAATTTGTATATAATTTATTTACAAAAATACGTTTAAATAATAAAACATTAAAGAACAATATAGTAATGTATTTAATAGTTACAGACACTATATAGTGATATTTACAATTCATTTTTAAGATTTTTTTTACACAGTCTAGAAACGTTTGAAACTGTTTTCATCAGTGTCATCATTACAGTCTTTCACAATTCCACTGCTGAACATAGGCCTACCCCAAGGAATGCCACAAACCACGGTCTTGAGCTACCTGCATCCATCTACCAGTATAACTTACCAGGTTGTCACTCCGTCTGGAGGGGGGGGGGGACCCTATTTTAATTATACTTTGGGCTTAATAGATCTTTGAAGAAGACAAAGACTCAAATGCAAAAAAAAATGAACTATCAAATTAATGACTGTTATAGCCTGTTGAAAGTCCACTACTGAACATAGGTTCCCCATAGATCGCCTCATAGGTGGGATATTAGCCATATTTGCCACGATTAGCAGGCAGGTTGGCAACAACAGTTTTTAGTCATATGATATGTCGTCTATTATGGGTACCCACGGGACGATGGGTGTAGTGGATATTATTACATATATAGGTAATTAATGGTCCATGGACTGTAGTAGCAAATTAACATTAGATGGACTTTAAATACGTTTGTTCTTTAACTTCAGTTTCATTAAAAAAAACAACAGACGTAACATCAAGCACCTTTTTTTTCCATCACCAGCAAAAAGGTTTAAAAGAACAATGGCAGACTTTCATACATAAAATTAGTTGAGAAGGAATGGTAGCGTCTATATATCCAAAATATCTTAAAATTTTAAGCGTCAGTCCCTTAATAACTCTGTCAAAGGATTTCGTTCTGAGAAGGCGTCAAAAAAAGATACTTAGATTTAAAACTTTTTAGGTTATGTCTTTGTCACTTGGAAAAAGTCATGCGTCTTGTGGTTGTTTGATGTAAGCTTAATACATTCTCAACATAATGTACCTACTTACATAATTGATAGCTTTTAGATTATTGTATCTCTATTTTATATTTGGATACAATAAATGCATATTTCTGGCATGGCTCCAAGGCCTTTGTGTCATACAGTGACATTCTCAGAAGGGCTAGAACCCAGAGCCGTAAAGACAGTAAAAAACTGACATTTTGTTTTAGCTAGTGTTGCCATAACATTAAATGTAATTGTTACATAGTTTTTTTTTATAGGACAAGGGTGACAAACGAGCGCACAGTCCACCTGATGGTAAGTGGTTGCTGTGGCCCATAGACATCTACATCTATCTTTGTTTGCGAATTAAAATGCAGATGCTTTGTCAGCCGTGAGGACTAAGATGGAATGCCTCGTTTCCAGTAAAAAGGGTCTCCGGTTCTCTACACTCACCATACGAAACACAGCAGCGTTAAGCTGCTATTTTACGCTGGTATTCAGATAGTATCATTATTGAGATAATGTATTATTGTAGGAAGTTCTTTGTAAGAGACTTATTTTCAACGATATCACTTTTATTTTTATTATTACTGATAGTATAGTTATTACTAATAATAACTTAATATAGAAATATTTTGTGTTTGTGTGTTGTGCTGGTAGTCTTACAAAGTTATACGAAAATAGTATGAAAAAATAAATGGCAACACTTGAATAGAGTAAAATGATTTAAAAGTCATTTGATATTTCCAAAAATGGTTTTTTTTTGTGGCTTTAATAATAATACATTTTTATTTGAAAAATCATAGTATAATTATAAAACGCATTATATATATAACTTATCTATAGAAGCAATAATTTTTGTCTACTATTTTCCTGCCATTGTTCTTTCTGTCATTCAATTTGCTAAATGCACGATAAAAAAGTTGTTATTTACAATAAATTATCTTATACTTTTTCGTGGCAGCCCATTGTGTGTCCACCGTAAAACAAAGTTCCTCATTCATGACATCCCATTGTGTGTTCACCGTTAAATAAAGTTCCTCATCAAGATTGCCATAAAGCACAGTCCTGAGACGTGAGCACACGTCGCCGCTCTATGCGAGCTTCAACAGTTTATCACGTCACTAACCATAGTTTCTGGTTTTATACAACTTACCATAAACACACTAAATTATTGGTAAAGTTGTAATCAAGTGCGTATTACCAACATCTATCTGACCAAGATATACTAAACTTAATTTAAAGTTTTCAGTTTCAAAAAAGTTAGCAAAATAAAATAACTGAATCTTTTATAAAACAAAATTAAAACGTATTTATAGATTTCCTTTATAATATAGGGAATAGGATCTCATTCCGCTCTGGCTCAAGACATAAACGAGACAGCCAATAATGTGATTAGATTCGCGAATTATTTTACTATCACTACTATTTTAGATTATTTTCCCAACAAATGAAAACAATAGTCACAAATTTAATAGAAAAAAATTGTAACGGTTACAAATTGAAGGTCTTCAATATAACATTATTAAAATATAAAAACGTGACTCTAAACACAATTAGGATAATAAAAATTAAACGTTAGAGCATATTGTAATTACGCGATACGACGTATTTTATCGATATGATAAAAAGCGGAAGTGTCACTTCACTTAAAAGTTCACTTCGGGATGGTATTTAGTCATGTGATAGTTCAAACTGGCTTTCTGTACGAAAGCCTGACCGCACTCTTTGCAGACCTTTCTCCTGTCGCCCGTATGAATTCTCTCGTGCAGGTCCAGCGTCGTCTTCCTCAAAAACGACTTCCTGCAGAAGCGGCAGTGGTAATCCTTCACAGTCTTGTGCTTGAACTTGTGTTTGTACATACCTTCGAAGCTAAATGATTCATACTCACAAAACTCGCACCTGTACTTCTCTCCGAGCATGTGGAAATTGTTTATGTGTTTCCGCAGTTGGATTTTCGTGTTGAACGTGCCCTTGCACGCGTTGCATTTGAAACGCTCATCTACATTGTGCACCTCCAGCTTGTGGACTGTGAACGGTGCGAGGGTCATGAACTCCTTCTTGCAGAGCTCGCACAAAAACCTCGGTATCTTGTAGTGTTTGCTCTTCACGTGGAACCTTAGCGAGCTTATCTTGTCGTAACTCTTATCACAGTGGCTGCAGATATATCGGTCCCCATCCTTCTTATAGTCTTGCAATAGCAGGCGAAACTTTGGCGCGGTCTTGCCGCCTAGAAGACAGAAAAACAGTTTTTTTAGGTGCCATTCCAGTCTTCGCGCTTCGGTCTTGAGGGTCTTATTTCAATAATTGTGCTTCAAAGTTAGGGATTATGTACAGTCTTCTTATAATGTTATTTATTATGTATTAACAATATATCACACGTTTCCAAAACCCCGGTTGAATTTAAACATGATTTTACACCTTTTAAAGACGATAAAGCAATAACTTCTCTATTTAGTATAAAACAAAGTCGCTTCCCGCCGTCTGTACGCTTAGATCTTTTAAACTACGCAACGGATTTTGATGCAGTTTTCATCGATAGACAGATTGATTCAATAGGAAAGTTTATATGTATAAATATGCATATTGTTATATATAATTTTTATGTCCGTGTGTGTGTGACTGAACTCCTCCTAAACGGCTGGACCGATTGCGATGAAATTTTGTGTGTGTCTAAGTAAATTATTTAGAGAATGGTTTAGTTTCAAAGTTGGACCCTGTAGGTAGCGTTGTTGTCGAGACCAAGAAATAAACGTGCGAAGCTGGGGCGGATCGCTAGTTTAGTTTATATTATACTACCGGCTTCGCCTGGGTAGTATTATTAATGTCATTTCTGTCATCAAGACCATTTATTTTTCAGACAGACAAACCAAATTTCACAAAATATTATTTATTTCTAAATTATATGCAAATAACTTAACTAATAATTGTTTGCATGTCTAAATGACATGAGCAAATGTCTATATGACTAATTGTAAAATGTTTAAATGACCCTGAGCTCAATAAAACGTTATTTGGATAATACAGACAGACACTTAAATTTTTTTATATGTTGGTTATGAATACTACTTTAACGGAAATAAAATCCGAACTTTTTTGCTATAAATCCATATGTCGGAGCACTAAAACGGCATTCGTGGAGCAACTATAGTTGTATCGGTTAGACGCGTAGCGTATGGCCCACAAAAGTGTTACCGTTACTATTAAAGTCCACTGCTGAACATAGGTCTCACCCACAGATTGCCTCTCAGGGTGGATATTTGCCATAGTTGCCACGCATGGCAAATGGTGTTTTATTATTAATTGTTATTAGGAAGACACTGCTGCCCATCTCCTGATTTGTATCCCTCTGTCGCCTCTTACGACACCCACGGGATGGACGTTAGGGAATATTCTTGCATCGCCACTACACGATAAAAACAGTACAAAAGTGTTACCAAATAATAAGTGTGATTACTAAAACTGTGAAACAGTATCATCATCATCGTTATCAGCCTGTGATAACCCACTGCTGAACCTGGGCCTTTCACATAGAAAAGGGGATTTGCCTTAATCGTCACGCTTGGCAGCCGGATTGATGATAGCACCCATGACTCTGCCGTTTCGCACCCCTGACCCGGTGCGACCAGATGTTTCGCACCCCTGACCCTGCTTTCCGCAGCCGGCGTAGGTATTTTACTCCTGGCATCTCGAATCTATCGGAAGCCATAAGGTCTTTTTTGGCATATACCATAGTCGCCTCTTACAACACTCACGAGACGAAATAGGATAATGGATTCTCTTACGCAGCGAACACACGGCGGGGAGAAAGTGTTTCAGTGTGTGATTACTACAACTAGACTCTACTATGTGTAAAATATATAATTGTATTGTAACAGGATGGAGCTACTTCAACTAATAAACTTTAATTTATTGTGCCATTAGCGTCTACGTTGATGTTTGCATACTATTTCTGTATTGTTGCGACAATCGTTGTTGTACATTTACCCCGATTAAGAATCAAAATGCAGATGCGTTTTCACCCCTGCGGACTAAGATGGAATGCCTAGTTTCTAAAAAAATGATCTCCGGTTCTCTACACTCACCATACGAAACACAGCAATATTAAGCTGCTATTTTACGCTGGTATTCAGAGAGCGTGGTCCTACCACGGTCGAGTCGTCTCATTCGTGCTACAACCATAATATAGCTGCAGTGTGACTCTACCACGTATAATCTGGTCTGTCAGTAACTCTTGTTCTTCTGCGGATATATATACCTTTCCATCACTAATGACCACGTTCCAGCAGTTCAGTAAGTCTACACAGGTAACACGCAATTTCGTCTTAAGATTCTGAAAAATATTCGACAAGATTCGTCGCAGTTGGAATTCGTGTGTTGTAACCGCTTGGAGAGTGGCCGCCACCGGCTACACGTGTGCAATGAATCCAAACAAGACGAACGAAAAAGCGATATTAAACAGGTCCACGGTTCACCTTCATTAATAATAAAATTTCAAATGCGTTGTCACACATCGGAACTAAGTATGAAATGAGTTTTTGAACCTTTATAAACCAGTGCTTAACTACTATTCCACTTAATGGTAAACCGCAAAGTCCTATATACTATTGCTTTAGGACACGTACTTTGTAATCGGATGGAATGACTGATGCTGGCAAGCTATTCCATTCCATTGCAGTACGCAATACATACAAAGAAGCAAACCATTGCTATCTTGTACGAGCGTGGCCCTACCCCGGAACATCGGATTCAATCAAAAATCAAGGCTTGTTCAAAAACCAATTCCATAGAGTATTGCTAAAATATGTATATTATAAAACTATTAATGTTAAGAAAAACGTTTTATACGTGGTAGGGCCATGCTGCAACTAGCTGCTAGTATAGTTTTAGCACGAATGGATCGGCTCGACCGGGGAAGAACCACACTCTCACAGAATGCCAGCGTAAAATAGCAGCTTAACACTGCTGTGTTTCGTATGGTGAGTGTAGAGAACCGGAGATCTTTTTTACTGGAAAAGAGGCATTCCATCTCGGTCCTCACGGGTGACAACGCACATGTCTATGGACCACAGCAGCCACTTACCATCAGGTGAACTGCGTGCTCGTTTGTCGTCCTATCCTATAAAAAAAATTACACGCGCGTTCATAATAAATACAATTACATCTTATCTAGCCACTAATTTAATATAAGGTTTGAATCAGGAATTTGTGTGTCATGATTTGAATTTTTTTTTATAAAAGCTACTAGTAATGCTATTAACATTACTAATATTCCTTTTAACTCACTCCTGGTATAGAGCCGTGGTAGCTCAGATAGTTAGCGCTCGCTGTAAGCTCCACAGTACTCGAGCAACCCGGGTTCGATTCCCGCCGGCACCAATGAGATTGTTAATTGCAATTTTAAGTGCTGATTTACCACGTGCTCGGCGGTGAAGGAAAACATCGTGAGGAAACCTGCATGTCTGAGAAATAAGAAAAAATATTTTCGAAGACATGTGAAGTTCGCCAACACGCATACATAAAAATGTATGTAGTTCTACTACAGCCAGCCTTGCTACAGTTTTAGACAATTCGTTTCTTCATTACAGCCTATCATCCACTGGTAAACATAGGCCTCCCTCATGTATTGGCTCATAGCCGCCCATCCCCCTAATTGACGTAGTTGCTACACCTCATAGTTTTTTTTATTTTGTGTTATCAGGAAGATGCTGTTGCCCATTTACTGTTTTATTTCCCTCTGTTGCATCTTATCATGCAAATGGGGTGATTTGGGTTAGCATATTATCTAACACCACCACTATATGGCAATATATATTTTTTGGCAATATATTCTCAGTGAAATTTGTACTCTATCTACCGTAGCGCGGCGGATATTTCCTTGCCCTAAACCCTCTCAGAAATGAGAGGAGGCCTGTTCCCAGCAGTGGGACGTAAATAGGCTGCAACTTTACTCCTGGTAAGTTTAAAATGCGTTACGAGTAGTTCACGACAATGATCGAATGGCGGATTCGGACCCAGGACCTTTCGAGTTCGCGGTCCGCACCCTGACATTAGGCTAATGTCGCTTCAAATATAGTACAGTCTTAGCTTTATTTAAACATAAGACCCCGTCAACTTATAACAATGTAAAGTATTTTTTTCATTTGCTTTTTTGCTTCATAAAAATCAATTTGGTTTTATAAGGGGCCGCTCCAAAGTTACGTTGATGTTGAGCTTTTAAAAATACTTTAATACATAGGGGAATTCAGAGGATGCATTGTGTATAAACTGTGACTTTTCCAATGGCTTCGCTGTGTTCATACATAAAATATTAGTCAGTAAGCTACAGTATTATGGTGTCAAGAACATAGCGCTTAAAGTTAATATTTAATACTGAAACAATATGACGTAGAAATTTATTAAACATGGTAAATATCCTTCCGAGTAACCTGTATTAATAAGTGTCCCTCAGGGCTCAATCTTCGGCCCATTCTTATTCCTAATCAATATTAATGACTAAGCTCACCTTGTAGGGATAATCATAATATAGTATTATATGCTGATGATTTTTAAACTAAAACGACAATCGTTTAAATATGTCAGTATCGATTCCAAATTGGTGCATTTGTTAATAATTATATTATTCTATTTCGGTTTAGCTAACACATTTAGCTGTGTTGCCATAATACTGAACCACGACTCTTTCACATCAAATAATAAAACAATTTAGGAATAAAATTATTATTGTATTTCTAAATAACAGACAATATTAAAATATCGCCGCATACACTGTAAGTCACTGATAAAAATATTTTAATAGAGACGTTAGGTAAAGTACACTACGTTTCAAATTTCTTCACTTCACTTTGGTTAAAAGTGCACCGAGGGATGGTATTTGATCATGTGATAGTTCAGACTCGATCTCTGAACAAAAGCCTGGTCGCACACTTGACACACCTTCGTCTTATCGCTCGTGTGGATCTTCTCATGCAGTTGCAGGTTCGATTTTTTCAAAAACGTCTTTTTGCAAAAGCTACAATTGTAACTCTTCACAATCTTGTGCTTGTCATTGTGCTTTCGCAAGATTCCTAACCAGAATGTCTCAAATTCGCAAAACTTGCATTTATACTTTACTCCCATCATGTGGTAAGTGTTTATATGGTTTCGCAATTGAATCTTCGTGTTGAATATTCCCACATTACAAGCATTACATTTGAAACGATCGTCAATATTGTGCGCTTCCAATTTGTG